CTTAGTTTCCTCGCAGCATATCCGCTAACGGGGGCGAATATATCCCGCACCCCATGCTGGGGAGGGGGGGGGGGTATTCATATTTCACAGCCCTCCCTCTCGCTTTCTGCAACTGCTTCTAAAATCTAAACCAGTCAGTGTATCGACGCAAAAGTTTCAGTACCTACCTTTGGCTGCATTAATTTGATACATTGTGTTAAAAGAAGAACTTCGAAGCTACTATAGGTTGGCCGGAAATGACGTCAGAGTGAAGTGACGTCATGTTCGGCCGATTTTGAACTACGGCAATCGCTCCCAAGAGCTTTTTTTTTAGTCTAGATCCAATTTCTTTGCATCAGATGAGTCAGAATACACAGTGATATATGAGACTGCAGTTTCGGATTTTCAAAATATTGAACATTTTGAAAATGTTGTAAAACAAATTATAACAGCATTTTTGTCATTTTTTTTTTAACAAAAGTTCGACTTATTGAGAAACCAGAATAAATGTGATAAAACGCAAACCGATGATCTACTCCAGAAAGTTTTAGCCCGATATCTTCAAAAAATAGCTAAGTTATAGGTACGCATCATAGTCTATTAGTCTAAAATTCTAGTCTATAATTTCACTATTAGGTGTAGGTACAGGTCTCGCGAGATTAAGCGGTAGGTTTTGCACTTTTACATTTCCGGTTATATCTCAGAAACTAATCGATCTACGACGAAGCCATTTTACACGATCATGGCCGGCTTGTTACCCAACAAGTCGATCGCATCTTCAACACTTAAAAGCTTAAGACGACGAAGATATAGCCTGAAGTACACTAAATTTTCTAGGTGCAAAACCTACCGCTAAAACCCGCGAGACCTGTACATATTTCAAATCAATTTTCAAGTAGATACGTTTTTGACATAGTACACCAATATCTATAAATAGCTCCATCATGTTCCTGAGCTTAAACTGCATCCAATACACCTTTTTGGTGAAAAATTCAACTTCAAAATTTGACCTCTTTTACCTGAAGGTGACCTGACCTCAGCTATATTCAGCTGAAAATGACCCCGAATGACACAAACGACACTGATTTCGAAATCTGTGACCTAAATGGAGCATAAAACACGCATCGTGTGACCGACGCATGATATAAGATTTCCGTGACCTGTGTGGCTTTGACCTGAAAATCAAAACATAAGTTTGGTACTCTCAGGGTATCTACAGCATCTATTCACGAGTGTGTAAACGAAAAATGGCCCCCCTGATCTGACTTGTAAGCCGACGGCTAGAGCCCAAAATGTGAGCAATCCAAACATTGGTAGTTTTTACCTTGACCTGACCTGTGACGTCATCGGTCATCTCTGCGTCAATGAAATCAGGTTTCGTTCGACAGTTCTTCCTGGGCTATTAGACACCGTTTGAATTTTGACAATCGGCCAAATAATTTTGGAGTTAGCAAGGGGGCTGTGAATAGCCCCCCCCCCCCGCCCTCCAGTAACGGGCGCGTTACACGCACATCCAAGTGGGGTGCGGGAAATAGGACTGGTCACTGGTCAGGGGTTAAGTTGACAGTGTACTTGGGTTTGTGAGGATGACAGCAGGTTTTGTAAAGTTCATTTACCGTAACGTTTCATGCTAAAAAAAAACATCAAAACCGCTTCGTACCGGAGAACGACGAAACTTCATGACGTCACTGTTACGTCATCTTAAGTGCTGCTACCACCAACTTGCCTCAAATATGGCCTAGGTACATTTGAAGCTATATCAAGTTTCAAGTTCATATTTCAGTAGGTTACGGAGAAAGCAAGCAAAACGTAAAGGAGTCAAGTTTAGCCCCCCGCCCCAGTATTCGTGGGCTCTCACGAACAAAATCTCTTTTTTCTTACAGGATATCAAGAGCTGCTGAACAACGCACCTCTCTGCTATCGCCACCAGCATCCATTTGATACGGTTCGATAGTTTTATTTTCATCAATTCATCATCCACCTGGTAAGGTCTTTAGCTATCTCCCCTCCCCCAACGTTCAGTCCGATCTAAGCCTAGCGAAAAAAAAAAACTACGAATTCCACCCACCTTTCCTGGACACTCATAAGCAACTACCGTAAACCGGGGTGAGTTGATATGGGGTGGTGAGTTGATATAAATTGCTCGAAAAATGTTAAAATGTGTGCTGCTCATCCATTTGTAAACCAATTTTTAGTTTTATTTTTCTGTGAAGTGAAGCAACCAATAAGTGATGCATATAGCTGAGAAAGGCATGCATGTGGTGCATTGCCTTCTTAACACATTACTTTTTTCAAAGTCCTTTTTTTCTTCTGATTTTGAAACTAAGGAAAAGTCCCCACCCTACAGCAAAGACGGTGGATATTTATGGAACAACATGCACTGGGAAAGAAACTACCATCAATTTACTGTTGATCCCAGGTAGTTTTGGGTTTCACCTATAACAACGCTTTTTTATAATTTTAAGAAAAGTGACAGGTGGTGAGTTGATATGCCATCAAGGGGTGAGTTGATATGCATGATAAAAGCTGATACCAGGCTGGTATGCATGCAAATTAGCATGAAATATGGGTCTGCAAGTAAGACAAAGTCAATTAGACCAACTCTTCTCCTTTTCTCTCCCCACATCATTCCATCAACCCCCAAAAGCTTTAGTTTTTTTTTTTCTGAATGCTTGAGACGAGGCCTGTTAGTATCACTGTTGTTAGTTGTCGGACTTTCGTCCCCGTCTTGAGTTGAGATGTTAGTTTCACAACGTTTCAGCAAGTAACTTCTCCGGCCATCGTCAAATCTGCCTCGATAGTGGAGTGGCTAGAACCGTGGACCATCACCGGGGAAACCCGAGTTCGATTCCCGCTGACTACAAGAGCTTTCGAACGGTTGGACGCGTACGGCGCAACGCCACCAACATCCAGGTCCTTCTGAGGGTCAAAAAACATCTGACGAGTAACGACGGCCAACTGGCCCAAACGTTTGAAACTAACATCTCAATTCTCAACTCAAGACGGGGACGAAGGTCCGACAACTAACATCAGTGACCCCAAAGTTTTTTTTTTCTGTGGACATACCTAACATGCAAAAGGCACAGCACAACTCCCTGCCAAGTCTCAAGATGGCTCCCTACAAGCTGCAAAGGAACACTATAGAACACCTATATACATACAGATTAAAAAAAACATGTTATAATTATTCGTGGTTTCGAAAATGACAGAACTGTCGTTTCTGTATGGCTAACAGCGCGGGAATTCTGATCTCGTGAAACTGATAGTTTTCCTGCTTGGCAATTGCCAACCGAGAATGAGTGACAAAATGAAATGGAACAAACAATATAAAGAAATTGACTGGTGTTTTAACCCTCGCCCGTATTCGTGTTTTGCCAGCGTTTAACGTATAGGGGGGGGGGGGGGGTCCGTTGGAATCCCATCGTCGTTTGGCCCCTGGTGGAGCTAGAGCTTCGAGGAGAAAAACGAGCGTGTTGCCCGAGACGCGAGGAAGCCGATGATAATGATAACCAACTTTAAGGTCCTAGGTCATTGGTTAACCTTCCAGGCCAGGTCAATTACCCAGAAGTCGGGAAAATAAGGGGTTATTTGAAGTTCGTAAAGCGAGGTTATTATTTTTTGGCTGTTGCTGATCACGAATGTCATGTTTGTTTTGATCACATGTGTCTCTGTACATTTAGGCCAGGTCAGGTCAGGTCAGGTCAACCAGTAGGTGTCCTGCCGGCTATCCATAGGGAGTGTCAAGTGTCAACTACCACTGACGGTGTCGTAACATGTTACGAAGGCACTAAAATTACTTCGTAAATGATCAAATGCATGTTAAATTCGACATCGGCCCGAAAAACTACCCTAGAAACATGTAAAACTCCAAAAGTGAGCCGAGGTCACCAAAGGTCAATGACCTGACCTGACCTTCAGGTGAACTTGACAGTTGACACCCACAATACTGCATCGGACCAACATCATTTACATGTTTGGACGTTACAATCACAAAAAGACTGGAAATGCGCGGATAATGTGAGCCGACTACGCCAAATCGCGATTCCGGCCAAGCATGGTCTCGAGAATCAGGTCACAAGTCAAAAACCATTTGAGTCAGGGTCATGAAATCTTTAGAACATGTGTAAAATTGATAAACTCGAGAGGCACTGAAAGTTTCGTCGCGATCGGCCGCTTTTTGCGCGAGTTATGTGCGAAAAGCCGAGGTGGTCCGTTCGCCCGCCTATAAGTGCGAGGGTTAATTTTGGCTTTTGATCCGAATTCTGTTTTATGTCGCTTATTTCACCTGATAGAATACAGTCCGAATTAGATTCGCTTCACTTCACTTCATAAATATTGTGTTGACTACCAGTCCACAAAAGCTCAGAAGTATATGTATTCTTTCATTTCAATCCATTATATCTGTCAGAGGCATATCAACCTTGACCCGCAACTGACAATGTGTTTTAATTACAAGAAAATACACTTGTAATTCCAAAATATACTGCCAGTTTTGATACCGTTGGCTTGAGGACACGTGACTAGCCAAGTTCAGAATGTTCTAAGTAAAACGAAGTATCATAAAGCGAAAAAATGATGCTGCTAAAATCAAGCCATTTTGATAGCGCTGTGTTGGACATGATTGCGTTTTCATGAATGTGAGGTCTGCTGCCAAACTACTAGCATTTTTCTTATGGTTTCTTTCAGGATGTGTTCTCTCATCCTTTTTTAAACACTGGCATTTTATCAACTCACCTCTGAGCTTCTTTAGCCGAGAAATTTTGAAAAATCCAAAATCATATCAACTCACCCCCTGGGGGGTGGTGAGTTGATATGAACTTTGGCGTTTTAAAAAAGGGGCTTAATATATACATTTTTTTATTCATTTTTGCTGATTGCCTCCCCAAGGCATGTGCCATGAAACTGGCACAAAAAGAATACCGTAAATGAATGTGGCTTTTAAAGAAATCTAGAATAACCTCAAAATCCATATCAACTCACCCCGGTTTACGGTACTAAGTGTCCACTACAAGCTCCTCCTGATGGCTGTGAAGATATTGATCGGCTCCCTGCTCGGTCTGCTGATTGTGACCACGTCTGGGGTGCTGCCGGTGGTGGTGGCTCGCTACCAGCACCTCCGCACGGCCACCAATTACCACCTCTGCATCATGAGCATCGCCGACTGCGTGGTGGGGCTCCTCTTCATCTTCTACCCGTGGATGAGGACCTTCTGGCCGTCCCTCGCCTTCTCGGGCGTCCTGTGCGCCCTTCTACTGCTCGTCAACTTGGCCTGTTCGACTGTCTCGAACGTCACCATGTTCTGGTTGGCGCTGGACAGGCGCACGGCCGTCCGCAACCCTCTGCTTTACCCTCTTCTGGTCACCAGGCTCACGGTACGACGTCAGCTCCTGCAGACACTGGGGCTCGTCATGCTGCTCGCCGGATACGTCATCACCTCGCGTCTCCTAACTGACCCCTCCTTCCCGGACGAGATCTCCCAATGCTTTCTCTCTTGGCAGCTGGTCTTAGGACATATCGGTACGCTGGTCAACAACGGCGTCAACCTGGTGGTCAGCTGCGCCACGATCTTCCTCTGCGTGGAAGTGCTGCTCGTGGCGCGTCGCACGTTGCGCTCCAACGTGGCGGCACTGCCGCACGAGCTGGCCGAACGTGCACGGCTGCGAAAGCACGTGCGCACGTTCTACTATCTGCTGCGAGTGATGGTGCTGTACGGCGTCTGCCTGATTCCGTTCAGTGTTTCCTCGCTCCTGAAGGCCTTCATGGGCCTCAAGGCCTCTCTGGAAGATGGGGCGACGCCTGGCGGAGGCGCGGAGGCCGCCAGTGTCCTCACCATGGACTCCGAAGAACCTCAGATCTGGTTTGTCGTTCTGACGGTGCTGCGCGGTTCGTTCCACCTCGTCGACTCCTGGCTGTTCTGCAGCAGTCCAGAGCTGAGACATGCCATCCTGCACTACTTCGGAGGCGACCGTTTCGATCTTTACCCATAGATGTTAGGGACTGGGGGCGGCTTTGAATAGCGAAGTGATCTAACAATGTCAACTTTAACTAAAAGGTCACGATTCTAATGGTATGCTGAAATACGTTTTTCCAGGTATGCGCTCTAGCCACATTAGCATTTTATTTAAACTGATGTGAAGTTTTCATTATTCATGGAGGTTTGAAGAGAAAAAATTGCACCGATTGGAGCAACAGGTGCAAATGTCAGCTTCTGAGTAGCAGTCGGCTCGGCACTCTTTATCGACTTTGTTGCCGGTGCGAGCGACTTTAGCGAGTGTCATTTGAGCGAACGTCATTTGAGCGAACCATTTTCAGCGAATGGCAATTCAGCGATTATTAAGTTCAGCGATTATCAAATAAAGCGATTATCAATTTTAGCGAAAGCTATGTTTCAGCGACATCTATTTCGTCGACTACAATTTGAGCGACTGTCAGTTCAGCGAAACACTTCATCGTTCTGTAACGGTGTATTTTTTGTTTTACTTTTGCGAGCGTATACGTACGAATGTTTCCGGAATTTCTCATGGTTATCCGGAACTGGATGGCGGATGTCACGTTCAAAAGTCAGACATTGAGCTCCAGATTTAATGCTACGTTTCTCAAAAATTCCAACGGTTTAATTTCACCCCCTGCTCTTTGCCAATAATGGTGACCAAACGTTTGTTTAGATATTCATATTGCTTATGCTGTTTTTTTTTCGCGAAATTCCCCCGCTTGAATTTGGACCAGTGTTGTAAAATTTGTTCTTGCCCCAAGCTCCTTACGAAATTCCAGATATTTGGGTGAGGTCCCTGAAACATAGACTGGATTCCCCCGTGCGCAGCTTGAACCATGACACATACCGAACGGGCATTCCAATGGCAAGAATTTCCGAAAAGTAGCAAATGATTGACTTTCGTCGAGTTCGGTTTCGCTGTAACTGTACTCGCTCAATTGGTCTCTCATTGACCACCATATATTCGCTCAATCTGGTTTCGCTGATTCTGGTCCTCGCTAAAGTTGATAATCGCTGTGATTGAATTCGCCGACTTGACAATCGCTGTAAAAGTCAATCGCTTAACCCGCGCGGGGCTGGGGGGGGGGTAAATTTTACCCCCCCTCGCGAATTTTTGCGATATCTCAAAAACGGCGGCGCGCAGCGCCGCCAAACTTTCAGTACCTTTTCTTACATCAATTTGACACGTTCCCTGAAAATTTGAGCGAAATCCGTCGGAAATTTTTTGAGAAATTGACGTTTTAGTGACGTCATGTTCGCCATTTTCGCCTCAAAAACGGCAAAAGTTCAAACGCCGCTAACATCTTCATTTTTAAAGGAATCAAGACGTAACAAAAAAGGTTATACGTAATTTTACGTTGTCTATCAAATGGCTATCTCGGTTTTTTGAAAATTTTGGATTTTGGCCTAATTTTTTTCAAAAACTGACTTTTTTGGGAAAATCATTATAAAATCCAAAATATTGAGTCTATCGAAAAAACCGGAATATATGTCAGAGAAGTGGTCTATGTGCACCTACATACCAAATTTTAGAAGAATCGGTTCAAAAATGTGGGAGTTATTCAAAATTTTATGACGTCACGACACACAATTTTTTTGAAAAATGGCTTTTTTGGAAGTTCTAGACCTTTTACGGAAACAAAAATAGCACCATTCGATTCGCCGTGAAAAACTGCATCAGATAGACACCTTTTTAGGCCTTAACAACCAACTTCAAAATTTGACCTCACTTGACCTGACCTTGACCTGACCTCGACCTGAAATTCATCCAGAGGTGGTCCATATCACTTATTGAGTGTGCCTATTGAATTCTATGAGTAAAATGACCCATAAAACATGTGTCGCACATGCCCTTTTCTATATTTTGTTTTTTGGTGACCTGACCTGACCTGACCTGACCTTGACCTTGACCTCTGAATGATATTGTATGCAGCGAATATAGTCTTGGTAGCCTAAGAACACGTTTTGGGCGATCAGTCTCAGTCCATGACTCCATTCTTCGGCAACTACGGTGCAAGGCCGATACTGTAGAAACTTGCAATTTGTACCCTTGACCTGACCTTGACCTTGACCTCAAACTTTAAATTAAGTACATGTTTTTAGTAGTTCGTGATGAGAGCTTTCGATTGGCGTTTGAATTTTCCAAATCGCACCATTAGTTCGGGAGATAACAGGGGGGGGGGTAAAATTTACCCCCCCCCCAGCCCCGCGCGTTCGGCTGGAGACCCCAGCCCCGCGCGGGTTAAATTGATAATCGCTGAAAATGTTTCGCTCAAATGTCGTTCGCTGAAATGACGCTCGCTCAGGTGTCGCAGAACCCTTTGTTGCACTTGAAGCCAATTTAATTGTTTTATTAAAGCAAGTAGGTACCTATCGTTTTGAACTAGGGATTAATAGATTTAAGAAGGAAGTCAAGAGTGTATTTTTCGGATCAATGTAGAAACATAACTGTTACTCGCAGCACCGCGGCTAACGGCTTTCATCAAGCCGTTATCGATTATTGTATTGTTGCGTGGTGCATTGCATTGCATGGCCGTGTACTGCACACTCCATGTTTCGAAGATATTGTGGCGCTTCCTGAATCTTACATCATACGTTTGTATTTAGCATATTGTGTTTATTGTTCAAAGCCTGTGTTTTATTTCTGTGAGAGTACGCGAAGACATAGCGAAACAATTACTCCTTTGATCCTCCAGAGTCCAGAGTCCCGTGCCGATTAAACAGATCAAACAGGTGCCCAATGATCCGTCGTAAATGGACTGTAATGATCTAGCAGTGTCTAAAAGCCGTAAGAGAGGCTTGTGGTGAAACACATGCCTACAGCTTGCGATATTCTTTGTCGTTAGTTACTAGACATGTGAGGTTCCAGTTGTGCAAAGAGGAAGACTTTCGGGCTAAAAGACCATTGCAGAGCCATGGGATAATGAGAGAGGGCGCAGACTTTGAGCTGTGCGGGTGACACCGACAGTGAGCGGTAGAGGTGAAATTGGACAGGATTACCCCGTTGAGACAGTCTTCTCGCCTCTCAAACGGTGGCACCCAGGAGGGAAAAGGTCTGATATGAACACCTCCAGGTGGAGTGACCGCCAGCCCGGAAAGGGAGCGGGAGGGGGTGCGGATGGGTTTGTCTTGAGGGAGGATGGCGACGGCGAGAACGGCTTTGGTTTGGCAAGGTGATCAGTTGCCTTTCTAATAGTACAATAACGTGACTTTGGAGGGCGATATGAGTTTTGAACGGCCCGACACCATTATCAGAAGCCCGACATGATGCTGAGCGGCCCGAGCGTAGCGAGGGACGCTAAGTATCATGAAGGGCTTCTGATAATGGTGAAGGGCCGTTCAAAACTCATATCGCCCGACAAAAGTCACGTTATTTGTATTATTGTCACTTATCTAGTTCATAATTAACCATTTTCTCAATAGCTTGCTGTAGTCAAATCTTCTGGAGGTCGGTCAGCAAGTTCGTAGTGCGCGAGAATGTAAAATACTGGTTATTGTTAAGCACGTGACTTTTCGGGAATTTAGGGCGAGCACTCACGACTAGAGTATATAAGGCAGGTCAGAGCGAACGGTGCATCATTTTCGGTTTAGCTTCTGAGGTAATAATAGCTCTGTCTCCTTTGCGCGTGGAAACGCCAGATGGATAGCGAAATAACGGAGCGTGAATTAATAGAGCTGGAAAGAAGTGTTGTACCTGACAACACATCGAAGGCCACTCAGTATGGGATGAAGAAATTTAATGAATGGCTTGCATTGAGAGACCATGCATGCGATTTTGGAACAGTTACTCATGAAGAACTGTGTAGTTTACTAAGAAGGTTCTACGCTGAAGTGAAGGCGAAGAAAGCGGGGGAAACTCTAACGCCCAGTACACTGACCTGCATTCGTGCGGCCATCCATCGCTGCCTGACCAGCGCTCCACATAGCAGACCGATCAACATCATAACCGATAGAGAGTTTATCGCAGCAAACAACATTTTTGACGCTCGCTGCAAACTGTACGTAAAGGCAGGCAACCCCAAGCCTCAGCATAAGGCTGCTATCACAGAGGACGATATGAAGCGCTTGGGTGACTACCTCTCGGATTTCGCGTCAAATCCAACCATCCTCCTGCAGGCTACATGGTTCTATCTCTGCTTTTTCTTCGGGAGAAGAGGTCGAGAAGGTTGGGCTCAGATGAAGAAAGATCATTTCGTCATCAGAGAAGACCCAGACGGAAAGGAATATGTCACTATTTCGAAAACTGAAGCAACAAAAAACCATCAGGGTGGAAGCAAGCAGGGAGATGTAGACTTTTCTGATCAGAGGATGTACGGGCCTGGTGTAGAAGTTTTCAAGATGTACCAGCAAAAGATCAATCATAATAGTGATAGGCTGTTCCAAACACCAAAGAGAGCATGGACGCAAGATGAATGTTGGTTCAGAAACGAAGCAATGGGGAAGAACAGCCTGTCAACAATCATGCAGAGGATAGCTGATAGCGCTAAGCTATCACAACGCTATACATGTCATAGCGTTCGTGCCACCACCGTCACGACATTGCATCAAGCTGGAGTGGCAGCTGAAGATATCGTTAAAGTAACAAAACACAAAAGGACCGCAAGCCTTTCACATTACATTGACGACATGTCAGTTCCTCAAAAAAGGCGTTGCTCTGAGATATTGGCACAAACGATGACCAGGCAGTCCGACACAGCCGCAAGTGTAGTCCCAGGGTGCAGCGCCACGGTGATACAGAACGGAGGGCCTGCTACCTCACGACGGTTGTGCGAAGAAAAGCCCAACTTTAATCTGACCATCGGTGGGATGGAAGTGGATGACTGGTTGAACATGAACGAACAGGACCCATTCCTGTTCCTGTTCGATGTGCCTGACCCATTCATGGGATGTGCCTGACCCATGAATGGGTCAGGCACATCGGGTGCCTGACCCATCGGAAGTCCGTCAAAGCCAGCAACTGGTAACGGCGAGAACAGCTCTGTCGTCACTGCTCCC